GCCTGCCTCTGCCTCCCGAGTGCTGGGATTAAAGGCGTGCGCCACCAATGCCCGGCCCATCTTTTTTTTTTTAATATATTTATTCTTATTTTATGTGCACTGGTGTTTTGCCTGCCTATGTCTGTGTGAGGGTGCTGGATCCCCTGGAACTGGAATTACAGACAGTTATGAGCTGCCATGTGGGTTCTGGGAATCGAACCTGTGCTCTTAACCACTGAGCCCCTCTGGAAGTTTCTTGTCTCATATTGCCTGTACTGTTCCTCTCACTCAGCTGTCTACCTCTTTGCTCCCTCTCAGCAGGATATACCCTACCATTCTATGTTCATCCATTTCTTTTCTCTAATTTTTATACTATGTGATTAAGTGTTTTGCCTACATGTTTATCTGAGTACCACTCGCAGGGCTGGTACCCACAGAGTCCAAGAGGCTTTAAATCCCCTGAAACAGGGGTTTTAAGCTGCCCTAAGCTCCGAGTACTGGGTCCTCTGGAAGAAGAGTAGTTGCTCTTAATCACTGACCCTCTCTCCAGCCCCTTTAAACATTCTTAAGGGAACCCCTTTGACCCACCATTGGGCCTAGTGTCTCTCCATCAGACACATGCCTTTCAGCCCCTCTATTACACCAGACATCTACTCCTTGGCATGACCGTCTGCCTCCCAGTGAAGGCATAGAACATGTGGGCTGTGCTCATGGCTGTTCCCCTCCCTGAGGAACCACTTACATAATGGGTCAAGAAGCATTTCTCCAGTGACAAATACCTAACCAGGCACCCAGGCCAGATGCTTTCCCTCAAGAGTGTCCGGGTGGGGGTGGGGAGGAACAGAAACACTCACAGTGGCCCAGGGTCAGGCCCAGCTTCTCCCACCACAGGCAGAGAACAGGGTGAGTGGGGGGAGAGTGGTCTAGGAAAGGTGAGTGGGTGTGGCTGAGTATAGGATTGTGGAGGTCATGCAGAGCCCCAGCTGGAAGAAGAAACATGAATGAGGGCCCAGCCCTGGAGCTCAGGTTCTGAAGGAGACAAGTAACAGCATGGGGTAAGCAAAAGAGAGCAGGCAAGCAAAAAGAGCAGTGCCTAATTTCCAGACTCCCAAAGCACTCTGGTGCTGGCTTTGTAGAGACCAGGCCCTGCTTGTCGGCTAGGGCTGGCCAAACATAACCTGGGCTTCTGAGAAGGGTGCAGATGCTTGGTGCCTAAAAACCTTGGACCTTCCTTCTCCCTCCTAGTACCAGACACCCTCCTAGGAGACTGGCAAAGGGGTGGCTCCTACAGTCTCCAAGTTGAGGCTTGAAGACTACTCCTTCAAGCTTCCTTCTCCCTGAGCCAAGACGCAGATTATGGCCACAAAAAGAACCCCAGTGTCGCCCAGCAAAACCCTGTGTCCCAAGATCGGGAAGAACTCTCTACAGTGTGACGTAGGAGCCTGAGAACCACCCACATGGCAGATGTGAGACAAGCCAAGTTAACTGCTCAAGTCCCTCAGCAGCCGGGAACCGTCTTGGATGCTGAGGCTCAGGCCCACTGCTGACTCTGGTCTGGTTGTCCTCATCTTCTTAGCTCCTCTCCCTTAGCATGCTTTGAAAGCAGGAATTCTAGAAAGGCAGTATGATGCCTGCAGGGGGGCTACCCATCTCCACAGAAATCTGGGAGCCCCAGGGCTACTGGCCCAATGAGCGGCTATGAGTCAGAATGTCTCCCACAGGGTTCTCAGGTCCCACAGCTGCTTGCTTCCCAGGCAAGTGGTGTGTGTCCAGCCCTGCCCTTTCTAGCCTTGCCTCAGGTTCTCTCAGTTCCTGCTCTGTCAGTGGATCTTCCCGCCTTACCACAGTCGCCAGGCTGGGAATGTGTTTGACTGAGTTCTCGACCTCCTCTTCGGTCACCTCGACCAGTGTGCAGTTCTCGTCCTCCGATGGCAATGGCTCGGCCCCGTGCCTCGTGACCCAAGGATGCAGCTTCAACGAATGACAGGAGGGGTGAGGGACAGGTTCCCACAAGGCCCTGCCAGTGAGCAGTGCCAAGGAGGGCATGCAGGAAGGGGAGGCCAGGGCCTGGGTCAGGCATGCAGGAGAGCCAGTGATCCAGGCAAAGAGGGTGAGTGAGTGAGTGAGTGAGATGGGAGGAAATGAGAACAAGCAGAGACAGAATGGGAGGTGCTGCAGAGCTGTGGTATGTGCAGAGGCAGTTCTCCATCTGGGCCCTGGTCATGGCAGGAACAACCAGAATCTAGCATCAGCCTTGCCCAGCTGCCCCAGGAGCACCCACTGATCCCCACCAACTCTCCCTGACAACAGAGACTATGCTCTGAACAAGTGCATTTTCCCATCCCACAGAACAAGAAACAAGAAGTTATGGAGGGGCCAGATGGAAGGGCACATTCCAAAGAGCACCCAGGGCTCTCTGGGGTTCAAGTCCTTATCTGTGACTTTTGGACCCTCTTTTTTTTTTTTTTTTTTTTTTTTTTTTTTTTAATTTTTCGAGACAGGGTTTCTCCGTGTACAGTCCTAGCTGTCCTGGAACTCGATTTGTAGACCAGGCTGGCCTCCAACTCACAGAGATCCATCTGCCTCTGTCTCTGCCTCCCCAAGTGCTGGGATTAAAGGCATGGGCCACCACCGCTGGCTCAACTTTCGGACCCTTTTAAAGACACCCTGCCAGTTCAAATCAGCCAAGTGCTCCAGAAGCCCTGGAGCGTATCTCTAGATGTCTGTCTTTTTTTTTTTTTTTTTTTTTTTTTTTTTAAAAAAAAAGGTCACATATCTCAGGCTGGCCTCAAACTCACTATGTAGCCGAGGATGACCTTAAACCTCTGGTCCTGCCTCCTCACTGCCTCATGCTGTGATTATATTAATTATGTCTAATTTATACAGGACTAGAAACAGAACCCAGGGCTTCTTGGATGCCAATCAACCGTTGTACCAACAGAATGACATCCCCAGAAGGGCCAGGTGTGTGTGCTGCACAGGGGAGTGTGCAGTGGTGGACAAGGCCTCTGCTGAAAGTACTTTCTACCACAGGGGAGAACGCAGCAGGCAGAGGCTGAACTGCTCACTAACTTCCTCCCACCCTCTCTGCAGCTCCTTGAAGGGACTGGCCTCCATCTTTGGCGGGGCCAAAGAAAGGACTTGAAGTTCAGCAGCTAGAACATGGAGCACACAGAGGCCCCAGATCACTCTCTGAGGGCGGACACTATCAATCATCACAAGCTAATGGGAGCAAGCGCAGGCAGCCCAGGTGATCGGTCACAACTCCCACAGTGGACACAAATGTCAACACTCCTCCCTGCTCCCAGCAGCACCCAGCAGCCCAGAGGCTCCAGGACACGGGGAGGCAGCGATGCCAGGAGGATGTGGTGCTGTGGACAGGGCTGAGCCAAACATTTCCAAGCACAGGCCACAGGCCTCAAGTACTAGCCTTCTTAGCCATCGGCAGTCAAGTACCTTGATTTCCGGCACCACAATCCTGGACTCTGGGTTCTTGTCCAGCATTCGGGTGATCAGATCTTTCAAGTCTTCGGCTATATCAGGCCTGGGGGTGGAGACACATCATGGGTAGGTCACAGAAAACTCAGGAAGCTGACCACTAAGGAATCAGAAGGAGGTGACAGTGGACAGACAGGATCTACTCACTGGTCTGGAAACTCCAAGGCCTGGCTCTTGATTTTACTGTGCAAACACATGATTCGCTCATCCATGAAAGGGCACTGCAGAGAGGCCAGGGAGGACGGTGGTCAGTGGTTGCCACTTGTATCCTTCAGAGGCCATCTGTGCTGGGTCACTCCTTAGGGACCACAGCAGAGAAATGGACAGCAGTGGCCCAGGCTAGAGAGGAAACAGGAACCATTGCCCCTCACTCTGTCCCCAAATCTGTGAAGGAACAGGAATGTCTCGCTGCTCCCCAGCCTTACCAACTGCACCACTGACCTGCTTTGTAGCTGAGCTTCCGTTTCCTACTGACACAAAAGCAAAGACTCCCCACCTACCTACCCAGAGAGCAGTAAGGAAGCTGAGACTAATACAGGTGTTGCGTGCACGTGTGGTTATGAGAGTTTAGCCTGGCTCAGGTCCCACAGGAAGCTCTCCGTGACTAGATGCTCATTCCACGGTGCCCTCCATCCGGGGTGACCTCTCCATCATCAGCTGCATGGCTTGTTCTCACCAGTCACACCTGACCACAACCACCTGAGTGGCCTCCCCCGGGCTTCCCTGCAGCAGACCTACCTCATTCTTGCCAACCGTACCATCCCTCAGCTGGGCACCTAACCCTGTCACTACAGTCATTTACGGGTAACTCCTTTCTGCTTTGACCTCAGGACTTCCTGGCTGCTGGCTCTTTCTCAGAATGTCCTTGGCACAGTAAAGATCTGCTGAACTAATGAAAGCTGAAATTGGTTCTCTTTTCTCAGGGGTTGTAAAACATATAAGTACTGAACTGGGGGTGCAGCTCGGGGGTACAAATGGTGCTTAGTGTGTACAAGGCACTGGGTCTGATTGCCAGCTGAAGGGAGCAGATATGATGATAAATAGATATAGGGATACTATAACATAATGGTAGATTCCAGGTGACAGGGTTGTGAGTTTTTGCCATAGGATTCTCTCAACTTTATGTTGAGCTGAAAATCTTGTTCTAAAGATGTACTTTTTTATTTTATATGTATGGATGTCTGCACATGAATATGTGCCACTTGGATGCAATACCCTTAGAGACCAGTAGAGGGTGTAAGATTCCCTGAAACTGGAGTTTCAGCCCATTGTGAGCAGCTATGTGGGAGCTGGGAACTGAACCTGGGTGCTCTGTAAGAGCAGACAGTGCTCTTAACTGCTAGACCACCTCACTAGCTCCAAGAAAGTTTTTCTTAATAAATACTCAGAGAAAATAGTTTTAAAAAAATAACAAAAATTCCTTTGCTTCGACATAGACCAAGATTCTTTTATTTTTCTTCCTTTCCTTTTTGTTTCTGATTTTGTTTTTTGAGACATGGTTTCTCCATGTAGCTCTGGCTGTCCTGGAACTCACTCTGTAGACCAGGCTGTCCTTGAACTCAAAAATCCACCTGCCTCTGAATGTGCCTGGTTTTGAAACAAGATCCTTAAACTCTCCTCCACAGGAACACAAGCTCCAAACAGGAAGGAGCCATGCTTTTATTGCTCACAGAATCAAACCGGACTTTATAGTTAAAAGAGCTGCCTTGCCTGCTATGGTGGTGCACTCCTCTAATCCCAGCACCCGGGAGGCAGAGGAAGGTGGATCTCTGAGTTTGAGGCCAGCCTGGTCTACACAGTGAGTTCCAGGACAGCCAGGGCTACACAGAGAAACTGTTTCAGAAAAAAAAACAAAAAACAAAAAAAAAACAACAAAAAAAACGGCACAAGAAAAACAGAAGTGCCTTTGAACATGAATAATGTTGAGACAGTAGAAAAAAGGACCACAACAAAAAGTCAAACACCATTGCCTACATCAATAGTGGTCCTTGCCCTAAACTCGTCAACTATCTAGAATCTCCACAGTCTCTGTTGATCTTTCTGTTTCATTCAAACATTTTTATACCGATGAGAATATCATCAGAGATATGGATATTACAAAGGATCTTTTTTAACTATTCATTCGGCTGTGGAGATACAATTTACAAATAAGAACTGTCTCCTTAGCAAGGGAAGCAGTCACCCACATCAGTCGTAAGATAGGACATGTCACCCTCTTACCTGGCCAAAGACAAAGCAGTACAGTGTCACACCCATGGCCCAAACATCCAAGGCCTAAAGAAAAAGAGAGATTAGTGTGACATACCACATCTATGTTTACAAGTCCAATAACTAAGTCTCCAACCTCCTTGGGGAACCACCTTTTCTTTTTCTTCTTCTTCTTGTTTGTTCATTTTTCAAGACAGAGTTTCTCTGTATAACCACTCTGGCTGTCCTGGAACCTGCTTTGTGGACTAAGCTGGCACTGAACTCACAGAAATCTACCTGCCTCTGCCTCTAGAGTACTGGGAATAAAGGCTAAACCACCTTTTCTTAATCTACACTCTTGAGCTGAAGCAAACCCAGTCTCCTAGCCTCCTTGGTTGGGACATGACACACTGGCACAACCACCGAAATCACAACTCCCCCAGTCACAGAGGTTGGTCATAGTTTCTTTGCAGTTGCTATTCAGAGAGGAAAGCCTGGCTCCTGAAGTTGACTCCATGATGGACAACAGCCTGGAAGTCCTGATGCCTGACCCACCTGCAGGGAAACCAGTCTGGGAGATACTGACCCTTGTTTGAGTTCCTGTATCATTCATCAGCTACCTGCCTGGTGGGCTGGCTCTCTGTACATCTCTTGTATTGGATTTTTGTTACTTTGAACCAAAGGACTCTGATACACACAGAACTCAGCAGATCCACACCTACCTTCCCAGAGAAGATCTTGCGGGTCTCTGAGAGCGACTCAGGTGCCATGAAGGCAGGTGTGCCCACAGTGTTAGAGAGCAAGGCATCGCTGCCCTTGAACTCATTGCTCACACCAAAGTCGGCTATCTTAATGTGCCCATCTTCTCCCACCAGGAGGTTGGAAGGTTTGATGTCCCGGTGGATGATCTTCTGGTAGTGTACTAGGTGTAGAGGACACCAATGGAAGAGAGGGGGCAGGAAAACTGCATGAGAATCTCCACTTGGCCATGCATCCCAGCATGCCCCTGATGTCTCATCCCCCAAGCCCCAGACCCCCTTCCCAAACATGCTCTGAGAGATAAGAGCACAGTGTGTTTAAGGATGTTTATACCATTCTCAAAATGCCAGCCGTCTACAGCGATTTTGAACTACCTGTCACAGCCTATAAACAGCTGCCCAGCAGGGAAGTGAAATACTTTCCATTTCCCACCCACTACCTGAGGTGCTAACTATCCCAGAGTTGAGCAGCTCCCCCATCGGGCATGGCTTACAATACTCAATGCCTTTGATCAGATCCTGGAAGTAGAATCGGGCCTGGTCTTCAGATAGTGGCTTCAGGGTGGGCACTTCCATCACAGGCCTGAAAGGTTGACACATGTGTCAACCATGGAAAGCAGACCCAGCTAGCCCTGGCCCACTCTCCCCATCAGAGCCCAGCTCCCCTCATTCAGCTTTCAGGTGAAGCCTGGCATTGCACCCGGGAGACAAATACTCACCCTTGGTTGACCAATTCAAACACTGTGGGGAAGAGAAGGAGGTAAAACTGTCGTTGCAACACTGAAAATCTGCCTCCCTCCTCCTCATCCACCCTACCTCCAGCCACCTCTCTAGATAGTCCAAGAACAGAAATGAGTCCTAGGAGGACTGAGGAGACACACACACACACACACACACACACACACACACACACACACACACAGTCTACTGAACCAAAGCTGCTCAGGGTTACCAGGTTACCTTTGCTGAGGAGGCAAAGGACCTCCTGATAGCCATGGGACCCTACACCTGAACTTTATTTCTAGAACTCAAAATAGCCAAGGAAAGCTGTACCTGATGGTACAGGCCTGTAATCCCCACTACACAAGAGGCTAAGGCAGAGAGATCACAAATTCAAAATCAGCCTGGGCTACAGAGTGGGTTCAAGACTAGACTAAGCCAATTCAGTGAACTCCTGTCTCAAAACACAAAAGGCGGGCTGGAGATATAGTTCAATGATACTGTACTTGCCTAGCATACATTAGGCCCTGGGTTTGAGCCCCAGGAATGAATGACCACACATGCATGTACTCATCCACACACACACACACACACACACACACACACACACACACTCTCTCTCTCTCTCTCTCTGTCTCTGTCTGTGTCTCTCTGTCTCTCTGTCTGTCTCTGTCTCTCTCTCACACACACACACATACAGCCTAGGGTGCAATAACCACATGCATGCACTCATGCACGCACACACACACTAACAGCCAAGGGTACGAGAAGGAAAATACAGAGCCAAGGGTGCAGTGACCACACATATGCGCGCACAAAACAGTCAAGGGTGCAAGAAGGAAAATAAATCTGGGGACAGGAAATAAGTACTCTGAGCTGTAGTTTCAACTAGTTTTTTACTATTTTTAATTACAGGTATGTGTGTGGGTCTGTGTATCTGCATGCAGGTGCCCTTGAAGGCCAGAGGCATCATAGTTCCCTGACTCTAGAGTTATAGGTCTATGAACCACTCACTGTACATTCTATAAACTATATGTGGATACTCTATGAGAACAGTTCATGCTTTCTTCTCTGTTTCTTGTTTTGTTTTACGATAAAGTCTTACTATGTAACCCTAGCTGGCTTAGAACTTGCTATGTTGACAGAGATGTGGCTTTCTCTGCCTCCCAAGTGCTGAGATTAAAGGTGTGTACTAGCATGCCTGGCTTTCTTTCTTTTTTTAAAATTTATTTTTATTTGTTGTCTGTGGTAGTCTAAAGGACATGGCCCCCCATTGGCCCATAGTGAGTGGCACTGCTAGAAGGTGTGGCTTTGTTGAAAGAAGTGTGTTATGGGGTAGGCTTTGACGTCTCAGGTGCTCAAGCCAGGCCCGGTGTCACTCTCTCTTCCTGCTGCCTGCCAATCCAGATGTAGAACTCTCGGCTACCTCTCTGGCGCTATGTCTGTCTTCCTGCCGCCACGCTTCCCACCATGAAGTCAGTGGACTGTAAGCCAGCCCCAATTAAATGTTGCCATGGTCATGGTGTCTCTTCACAGTAATAGACACTGACTAAGACACTGTCTATAAGTGTGCCGGCCTGAATTTATGTGTGCTGTGTGTGCAGGAGCCCGAGGAGGCCAGCAAGCATCAAATCACCTGAAATTAGGGTTTAGAGGCACTTGTGAGCCACCAGATATGGGTGCTGAGAGCCAAACCTAGGTCCTCTGACTGAGCCATGTCTCCAGCACCTGCTTTTCTTTGACTTTCTAGAAATGCAGATGTTTTCCACCTTTTGAGCACTTGGCCTGCTGGTAAAGACTCTTGCTGACACTGCCTGTCCTCTCTGCTCTTAGCACACATGGCCATGGCCGGAAAGTGTATGGATCCCCATCCCACTGCATCCACTCAGAACTCCCAGACTCTCTTCTGTTTTCTTTTTGTGTAGTGATGTTAGCTTCAAAGCCTTTGCATTACACTTAGGGGACTGCTCTGAGAAGGTTTTGAGATGTTCCCTGAAAAACGTAGAAGGGGGCATAGGTACTGCAGTATTAATTCAGGGTGAGAAAATTACTCTAGGAGTGCCATTCTGGACCCAAATAACTTTTCAAATTTTCTAATTCTGCTGTACTTCTTTAGATTTCACTTGATTCTTACCATGTCTTCAATTTGGCTCTGTCTATAAACCATGTAAATTAGTGTTTGTTTAATGATTTCTTTTTTAAGCATTTTCATATTTCCATACCCCAACACACACACACACACACACACACACACACACACACACACACACACACACAACACACAGACAGGGTCTCACTACACAGCCTCTGGCTGGACTGAAACTTGTTCTGTAGACCAGGCTGGCCTGGAAATCACAGATCTAGGTCCTCCTGCCTCTGCCTCCTATGTGCTAGGATTAAAGGCATGTGCCACCGTTCCTAAATCCTCACCATCTATAAATGAGGTCTTTGAGGACATTTGTTCCGAGTAGTACCCAGGTTTCTGAGTGTCCCACCAGGTTCCAAATGCCCAACCATGCCTTCCCAAACTCTTACCCCTGACTCTTCTCCCTACTTATCAACCACCACCCTTTTTCCTAAAGTTCTTAAAGCCTTGGGATCTTTCCACCTGATCCTCCATCCACCTCGATGCCCTTCCCCAGATGTAACAGGGCCAACACCTTGACAGGTGTAGAATGGTCATCTCCTTCATAAAGTGGTTTGTCCACTCTCCCTGACATCACCCTAACTAATTACCCTTAAAATATCTAACGTTCTCGTTTATTTATCAACACTATCTTTCCTGTCTGGGATATTGGCTATAAAGGTCTCTTTCTTATCACACTATCCTCAGTGCCTAGAACAGTTCTGAATATACCAGAGGTGCTCAATAAAGAGCTGCAAATGAAGACATAGGAGACCCAGATGTGAAAAGAACTCCCTCCCACCCTCCGCTTTAAGCCAGGTATGTGAGCTTCTGTGGGGCCTAACTAGACCAGGAAAGAGGAACCTTTGGTGGTTCCAGGGCTACAGCTATCCAGAGAGGACAACTGGGCATTGGCAAATGCAGCTGCCTCAGTGTAGACAAAGGGAAACATTCTTACCCATATACAAATGGTCCTCATTGGGGTCATCCAGGACCTGATGGCACAGCCGACCAACAACAGGAGCAAGGAGAGAAAGAACAAATATGAGCAAGAGGAAGTACAAGTGTGTGATGCTGTATGCCCACAGGAAAGTGCAATTCCTCTTCTTAGTCAAGGTGGAAGACAGAAATTCCCAGAGTGTGATAGCCAAGTCCACCTGTCCTCAAGCCCAGGCCAGTCCACAAGGTCTGGAACACTCTGAAGAACAGCAGGGAGGAGTAGATCCTCACAAGAAATGTCCCACACTCCGATACCAGTCCAGCCCATCTCCTAAAAAACATGTCCTGGTTTCAGGGTAAAAGTTAACCCCTACTTGAACTCAAGCAGCCCCTCCAGGAAGTGGACCCACACCTCCCCACCTCAGCATGGTATGTCTCCATGCCTGCTCCTGTCTCTGTCCAATGGGCAGGTCCCAAACTTATCCACCTTGATTGTCTTGGTAATGTCTTATATGTGCTGGGCACATAGTAGGTACCCAAGAAACATCTAATATATAAGCAAACAGAATGGCTGTGTGGTCTTGCTGAGTTGGGTGGAAAGATCGGATACATGTGATACTGGGGAGAAAAGTAATCCCTCTAGAACTCAGGGTAAACACCTGCAGACCATGCATCCCAGGACTTCCGCTAACACGGCCAACTCCAACATTGGAGAATCGCAATCAGGATCACAGCATGACATCAGGAAAGAGGGTAACAGCTTGTAGCCACTCTCTCTCTTTTGGGCAGAGGTATGGGCAAGACCCCTGACTAGACTAGGCCTCTTCCACATAGCCCAACTACCCCAGACACCCAAGATGCACAAGACTGCAGGCACAGCTGGGAAACCTATCTCAAGGGCAACTCAGACACAGGGTCCACCTAGAGTTCTGTAGCCACGGGTCCCAAGCAAGGATTGGCAATAGTAGCCCCCATATCCCAAAGGCAAGGATATGTTCCTCAAATATTGATGCTCTGGGCCCTTACACACGATGTCCCTTTCCCTGCAATGTCATCTGTTGTCTTTGCTGACCAGGAAATACCTATGGCCAGTTCAAAGATCACTTTCTCCACAAAGTCTTCCATGCCCCCTTCAGATAGCCAACACCATCCTTTACCAGGTGGGTAACAAGCTGAGCCAGAGGTGCTCCAGATTGGACCTGGACATTCTGGGGATCCCCCAAATCACCTCCAAGGGTGCTATGAGATGAAAACTATTTTTACTTTAAGACTAAGACAACACTGGCCTTTCCCACTCTTTGTCTACTTGTATCCAGTGTCCAGAAGGCACAAAATAGTATCACAGCAGGCTGAAGGACAAAGCAGACAGAGAATACAGATACCTTTTTAGTAAGCCAAATGTTAATAAAAAAGAAAAAGGAAAAAAAAATAACAACAGCAGCAGCAGCAGCAACAACCACCAGCAGTAAAAGTATAAAAATACATCCTTTTTCATTTTTTTGTTTTGTTTTGTTTGTTTATTTCAGAGAAAAGAAAACTGGTCAGTAAAGTGCTTGCCTTACAAGCACAAGGACTTTAGTCCCCAGAGCCTGTGTGAGAAAGCTGGTGTGGGCTGGAGAGATGGCTCGGGGGTTAAGAGCATGCACCATTCTTGCAGAGGACGGAGTTCTGCTCCCAGCACTCATGTCATACAGCTCACAACCATCTCTAATTCCAGTTCCAGGGGATCTGACGCCTCTGGAATCACAGGTACATGCACATACCCCCATCACATACATATAATTAAAAATAAAATAATAAATCTTTTTTTAAAAAGTGAAGCATGGTGGCACGTGCTTGTAATCCCAGTGCTGAAGAGACAGAGACAGTTGGATTGCCTAGAGCTTGCTGGCCAGACAGCCTGGTCTAGTGGTGAACTCTAGGCCAGTGAGAGCCCCTGCCTCAAATAAACAAGGTAGACAACACTTCCTGAGGATAGACACCCAAGACTGACTTCTGTTCTTCACATCCATGTATACTCACCTACATAAATACACTCAGGCATACAAACAAACAAAATAGTTACTATTCATTAAAAAATATTACTCTTGTTGGGTGGTGGTGGTGCACACCTTTAATCCCAGCACTCAGGAGGCAAAGGCAGGTGAATCTCTGAGTTTGAGGCCAGCCTGGTCTACAGAGTGAGTTCCAGGACAGTAAGGGATACACAGAGAAACCCTGTCTCGAAAAACAAACAAAAAATACAAAAAAAAAACTTTTTAGGGTTATTGTTTTTCAATGAATAAAATTTTGTCAATTTATGGTTTTTGGTTTTGAGACAGGATCGCTTGTAACCTGGACTGACATTGAACTTCTGGTTTTCTTGCCTCTACCTCTCAAGCATTGGGATTACAGGTACGCACCACCATGTCCACCTCTGTTTTATATTTTAATGGAATACATATGAATAAATGTAACCAATGTGAACAGCAGCATATTGAGATCTGTTGAAGTCAAATACAGTATGTCCCTTACAGGTTCATGTGTGGAAGGCCCAGTCCCCAACTGGTATATTGTTCTGGGTAGTGGAAGAGCTAGGTGAATTCAAGGGTATGCACCTTAAAGACATCTTCCCCTAGAGAATATATATATATCTCCTTATCCTTCCTGGCCACTATATTTCTGCTTTGCCTCAGGATCAACACAAGGAGATCAGCAGAACATGAACTGAAAACAGCCTTGAGCTTAAATCAATCTTTCTTCCTATTAAGTTGTTTTTCTAGGGATTTGTTACAGTGACTAAAAGCTAACACAAAGTTTTCCAGAATTTGAAACTCATCAAGCTATCTTGAGACAAAAAAAAAAAAAAGAAAAAGAAAAAGAAAAAAAGAAAAGAACTGCTAAGTTGAAGCAAAGGTTTGCTAAATATAGTCCAGTAGTGTTTATAAATGAAGGTTTACTGGAGCACAGGCATGAGTTCTTACTGTTTTATTTGTCTTTGAGGCAAGGTCTTGCCAGGTAGCCCTGGCTGGCCTGGAATCTATTATATCTACTATTCATTATATCAAAGTCACAGAGACCTGACTCCCTCTTGCCTTTTGAGTGCTGGGATTAAAGGTGTGCACCACTGCACCCAGAACTATTGTTTTGCTTCGTTTAAATTATTGTTGTTGCTGTTACTGTCTTGTGTGTGTTTACACCACCACAGTGCACAAGTGGAAGTCAGAGGACAACTTTGTGGAGTTAGTTCCCCTTCTGGGGATTGAACTCAGATCATCAGGTATCAAGTGCCAATGCGCACTAAGCTGGTTGTATGTGTAGCTACTTTTTCTTTTCTTTTTTTTAACATGATTTTGTGATATCATCCTTGCACAGGGGCCATGCTAATCTTCTCTGTATTGTTCTACCTTTTTAAGTATATGTGCTGCTGAAGCAAGCACATGTAGCTACTTCTTTTTTTTTTTTTTTTTTGGTTTTTCGAGACAGGGTTTCTCTGTGTAGCTTTGGAGCCTATCCTGGCACTCGCTCTGAAGACCAGGTTGGCCTCGAACTCACAGAGATCCACCTGCCTCTGCCTCCCGAGCGCTGGGATTAAAGGTGTGCGACAACAACGCCCGGCAGTTGTAGCTACTTCTATGTTCCAACCACCTTCATGTATAGTAGAAAGACTGCCAGCTTCAAAGAGAAAGAAGTAGGTAAACGGCAAGCCTCAGAACTCTCAGCCTCAACTTTTGCATCTGTAAAATGGGATCGATAAGCAGTCTCGAGAAGTGACAGTAACATGAAGTAATAGTGTGAAGGTGTGTGAGGCAACAAGGTCCTAAGCCTCGAGGCAGCTGTCTACTGTGACTTAACTCTCTAGGGAGCTTAGCAATGAGGTGTTTAAATATTAACAAAGCTGAGGCTAGACCATCAGCCTCACCCCCCTCCTCACCTCCACCAGCTTCACCACATTGGGGTGGTCCAGCTTCTTGAGGATGGCAATTTCCTGGTACACCTGCTCGATGGGGCCCCTGGGCTGGATGCAGCCCCCTGGAGCTGGGCGAGTCCCTCTGGGTGGGGGGCGACCTGCAGGAAGAACAGAGTTAGGCAGAGACCGTCTGCAGAGGGCAGCTGCTAATGGGACAAAGGGCAAAGGACTTCTGGGAGCTAGGAGCAGCCTTCTCTTCACGCTCCCCCCACTACTGGAAATCAGGGAGGTGGGTGCCCCGGACCTTCTGTTCACCAGTCAATCTCTTTTTCCTGTCACATGCCTAACCCAAAGTGACCAAGGCTCACTGAGGATACTGGTCTGGTTCAGCTATCTCAAATGTTCTCAACATCCCAGGAAAGTGACTGGGGATTAGCTTAGCGAGTAGAGCACTTGCCTAGTGCACACCAAGTCCTGGCACAGACCCCCAGTACTGCATAAAACAGGATGTGGGGATGCACCCCTGAAATTTTAGCACTTGGAAGGTAGAAGGAAGATTAGAAGTTCAAGGTCACCCTTGACTACATAGAAAGTGCAAGGACGGACAGTCTAAGTTACATGAGATGCTATCTGAAAACAAAATAAAGAGCCGGGCAGTAGTGGCGCACACATTCACTCCCAGCACTCGGGAGGCAGAGGCAGGTGGATTTCTGTGAGTTTGAGACCAGCCTGGTGTAAAAGAGCTAGTTCCAGGACAGCCTCCAAAACCACAGAGAAACCCTGTCTCGAAAAACAAAAAACAAAAAACAGAGTGTGAAGACCAAATGTCAGAACCGCTGCTGTATCACACGTGTGTGAGGAAGCCTGGAAGGGTGATACACAGACCAGAGTGTGGCTGTGAGTCAGCCAGGGCAAGGAAAACACACAACACAGGTTCAGCTGCTGGAAATGGTGTGCAAGGAAGGGCGCTGAGGCAAAGTGGCCACAGGGGGCAGGAGTAGTAGGCCATCTCTCAGCCATCACTAAGGAGGCTGAGCAGGAGGAGCCAGACAAAAGTGAGGGCCAGACCCGGTGGTGGCTGGGATTACAGGTAACTGCCACACTCACCTGCAGCCCAGTTTTATGTGAGGTCTGGGCATCCAAGCTCCATCTTAACACTCACACGGCAAGCTCTTTATTCACTGAGCCATCAACCCAACTCCCGGTATTATCTTACTTATTTTTGAGGCAAGTCTTGCTCTCCTGAAGTTTATGTAGACCAGGCTAGCCTTGGATTCACAGACCCACCTACTTTTACCTGCCACATGCTGGGCTTAAATAAGTGTACTGCCATGTCAGGCCCAATATTTAATTGTTAAAAAAAATCACCATTTTAAATGTGGGGTTTTGTTTGGTTGGTTGATTTTTTGAGACAGGGTTCCTTTGTGTAGCCCTGGCTGTCCTGGGACTCACTAGGTAAACCAGGCTGGCCTGGAACTCACAGAGATCCACCTGCCTCTGCCTCTTGAGTGCTGGGATTAAAGGTGTGCATGACAACCACTCAGGTGGTTTTCTTTTCTTTTTTTAATTATTCTTCTTTTTCATGTGTGTGCTTTTACAAAACAGGGTCCCATGCAGCTGGAGCTGCCCTTGTGTCCCTCCACTTGCTGAATGCTAGGGTTACAGTCATGTGTTCCTTACCCCGATTAGTGTAGTAGTTTTTAGTGCCGTCACCACCAGATCACTGTAGAACATTTTTGTTGCTCTTTCCAAATCTGATTCTTCCTCCTGCTGATCTACTTTTTTTCCTCATGGATTTACCTTTTTTTCTCTTTCTTTTTTTTTTTTTTTCTCGAGATGGTTTCTTTGTGGCTTTGGAGCTTGTCCTGGAACTAGATCTTGTAGACCAGGCTGGTCTCGAGCTCACAGAGATCCACCTGCCTCTGCCTCCCGAGTGCTGGGATTAATGGCGTGTGCCACCACCAACTGGTGGATTTGCCTATTCTTGATATTTCATATAAACAGCATTTTATAGTAAATGACTTTTTGAGTCTGGTCTCTTTTACTTAGCATGCTTTCAACCAAGTAATTACCAAAAATTAGTACTCTGTGGTGGCTGGAGACTCATCTACCAATTTATTTACTCATTGGTTCAGGGCCACTAGGGATGTTTCCACTCAGTGGATAATGTGAACAGTGCTGCTAACCATGCATACACAAACTTTGTCTTTTTTCTTTCTCTTGACTACTAAAGAGAAGTCGCTGGGTCCTAAGGTGTGAGGATTGACGCTGTTAACTAGGAAGAATCTAGAGTCAACTGAGAGGCGGCCTCTGGGATGGTATTTTGATTGCATTAACTGAGGTGTGAAGACATACCCACTGTGGGTGGCACCCGTCCCTGGCTGGGATCCCGCGCTGTCAGTGGAGAAAAGGTGCTAAACACTGGTGTCTGTTCTTCTCTGCTTCCTGACTGGATACAGTGTAGTCAGCTGCCTCAAGCCCCTGCCTCTCTGACACCCCAAATTGGAGTCAAAGGAAAGGATTTCACCCTGATGTTGGTTTTGCCAGCCTTTTGTCAGAACATCACGGAAAGAAACTAAGACATGTGGCAAGCTTTTCATTTATTTTGTTCATGGCCATGTTCAGCTTTTTATTTATTATTTAAATTGGTATGTATATGCCACAGAATTAATGTCAATGTCAGAGGGCAACTTGCAGGAGTCTCTTCTCTCCTACCCTATGGGCCCTGGGTATCAAACTCAAGGCCATCAGGGTTTGGTGGCAAGACCCTTTACTGCTGAGCCATCTCCCCGGCCCTCAAATTCAGCTTTTAAACTCTTAAATCAAAATGAATTAGGACCCACAGCAAGAAGTTCAGCATGGCTCTCAGGGAAAGCTCTGTGCTGTGTGGGATGTGGTGTCTCCCTGAGTGTCTCTGCTGGACATCACAGTCACCGGTTCTGTCTGATCTTGCCTCAATCCCCACACCTTAGAACAAAGCCCATGACACTCACGTGGAAAACCAGCCTGTCGGATCAGCTTCTTTTTGGACAGCACTTTCATCGCCTGCAGAAGGAAAGACCCCCAAGTCCAGTTAAAGGCAGCAGGGAGGCAGACGACAGGCTCTCTCCTCTCCAAGCCTCTCACTGAGCTCCCAGGTCGTGGTGCCTCAGGACAAGGCAGTGAGAACCTAGTCACCAGCAGAGCAAGCTGGTACTGCTTGAGTTGTGTCAGTGGCATCCCTGGCAGTTCCCAGTCAGCAGACCCTGCTGGGAACCCCTAAACTCATGACTCCTGCCACTGTGTCAGGCAAGTGAGCCAGAGCAATCAATGGGCCAAGAAGGGGTCTGATGGCTGCTCACCCAAAAACATGTTGTTAATACATGTTAGAACCAAGGTTTGAACCTACACTGGACTGACTCCAAAGCCTCAGCTACAAGGGCACTCTGTCCATCTACTGCCTTGTTCTTGGGGCTATGGAAGAGGCAGAAAGAGCAGCTCAGAGCAAGGGTATGAATGACACTTGCTAGGCCAATCCCTTCCCTGCCCCATTTCTCCATCTGTAAAATGGGGGCATCACTTTCTACTAAACAACCAAAGAGTAGAATGGAGAACAAGCACGCAAAGTGGGCTTCCTCTGGATGGGGATGTGGGTACTCACGTAGTAAGTGTTGTCATTTTCGTTGTAGGCCAGCTTGACCACACCATAGGAGCCCTGAATAAAGAGAGATGCCCGTGACATAGAGGCCGGAAGTGATACTCTGTGACATGAGCGCTCTGACAGGCTACAGACTGCAGCTCACTGGGAAAACGGACCCCGAGATTGCATTCTGTTGGACTTACCATTTTTGCAGTTTAAATTAGTTGTTAACATTTAAATGGGAAGAACATAAAAACCCAGGTTTAAAAAAACCTGAAAAGTCTGGCCATACAAAAGCAGTTTATCATGGGAATCAATCTACCTCAAGATCCAGCCATTCCTCTCTTGGGTATATACCCAAATACTGCTTGTCCATACAACAAGGACATATGTTCAACCATGTTCATAGCAGCATTGTTTGTAATAGCCAGAACCTGGAAACAACCTAGATGCCCCTCAACTGAAGAATGGAAAGAGAAAATGTGGTACATTTATACAATGGAGTACTACTCAGCAGAAAAAAGCAATGGAATCTTGAAATTCGCAGGCAAATGGATGGAACTAGAAGAAACCATCCTGAGTGAGGTAACCCAATCACAAAAAGACAAACATGGTATGTACTTACTCATATATGATTTTTAGACATAGAGCAAGGGTTTCCCAGCCTATAATCCTCTACCCCAAGGAAACTAGAAATCATGAATGACTCTAAGGGATAAATGGACCCCAGGAATGGGAA